CTTCTCTCTTCTCTCTTCTCTCTTCTCTCTTCTCTTCTCTTTTTTGTTTTTTTTCTCTTTTTTTTGTTGTACAGGGTACAAAAGGTTAAAGTAGTACAGCTTAGCCTCAGGTAGGTTTTATGGTTGTGTTTGAGGAGGACTCTTCAAGCCTTCAAATGCCTGCCTGGAGTGGCTTCCAAGTCCTATATATTGAAAAATGAAGCTGTGGCCTGATGTGAGGTCACAGACCCCTCTGCTGTTATCTGAATGTCTCTGCTTATTTGCAGTGCCAAAAGACAAATTTGTTTTCTCTGTGCTTTCATTAGAAGCCCTTCTGCCCTTTAAAACCTCAGGAGGAGTTTGTGGTTAACTTATGGAGCTAACAGGGCTGGAACCTTCAGCAGTTTGGTTCATCCGTTCTCACTGGAGTGACTTATGGATTTGACTCATGGAATTTTGTTCCCAAACAGAAGGAATGGTTTGTTCTGGCAACATACTCGAGTGCAGCAGTGGTGGGAAGCACAGGAGCAGTGCTGTGGTTCAGGAGGTGGGGCAGTAACTTCATAAAGCAGCTACCTCAATAACCTTCAGGGGATAGTGTCCTTCTGGCAGCACCTACAGTTACCTATCAAAATAGTGGTGCATAGGGTCTTTTTAATGCTTTTAAACTAATATATAGAGTTCTCTGATTCTGAATTATTTAATTACAGGTTCATGAAGGGACTTGGGTGCTGTGTTGCATGCAGAAATACATGTCTCTGTTCTTGATGCCAAGTGCAGACCTTTTGCATTTGCAGTGGTATTCATGTGTTCAGGACTTGGATCCTCACTACCCATGCCTGGAAAGCAGAGCAGATGTTTGTCAGAATATTACATTATAACCCTTCCAAAGATAATAAGGTCACTCTTGTTGCATTTCAAAACAGTGTGACCAAGAGGAGGGTTTGATCCAGCAGCTACACTCTTCCAGAAGCACTGAGGTGCTTTCAGCTAGCTGATATGGAGCTATTTTGGCTCTCAGTTGAGAAATAAATAGGTCAGGCAAGGCCTTTGTCAAGGAATTTAATAGACACATCTCAGACTTGCAGAGAAGCATGAAACTCTCCTGCTAAAATGTAATTGAGTTCATGAAAGGTCAGGGTTATCTTTTAAAGTAAGTCTTTTGCATGTCTGCAGAGCAAATATTGCATTTAAGAGAAGAGTAGAATCTCTGTTTTTACTGATAATGCTCAAGTTTTCTTTTTTTCTCCAAAAAACTCTACAGCTTCCTGCAAGCTAAGAGCCAGCCTGCTACATAGGACTTTTGTTTTATTGCTGTATAGTGACATCCCAAACTAGTTAAGGCATCAAGCAATAACTACAAGAAAATCATAAGCTGCCAAAATAACAGCAAAATACTTTAAAAGATTAATTTTTTTGGTGACTCTTAAGTCCTGCCATAAATTTTTCAGAAACTGTTGTGAAGTTGGTAACAATGCCAAGTTGGCTTTACTCTAAAGATGATTTGCCTTTATAATCACAGTCACTTAGGAATTTGGGAAAAGAAATCATAGAATCATTTAGGTTAGAAGAGACCTTTAAGGTCATTGAGTCCAACCATTAAACCAACACTGCCAAGCTCACCACCAAACCATGTCCCTAAGCACCTTATCTACATGACTCAAAACTCATCCAGGGAAGGTGATTCAACCACTGGACAGCCCATTCCAGTGCTTGACAACACTTTCAGTGAAGAAAGTTTTCCTAATATCCAACCTAAATCTCCCCTAGTGCAGCTGGAGGCCATTTCTTCTTGTCTCCCTTGCTACTTGGGAGAAGAGACCAGCACCCACCTCACTACAGCCTCCTTTCAGGTAGTTGTAGAGAGGAATAAGGTGTCCCCTTAGCCTCCTTTTCTTCAGACTAAGTAGCCTCAGTTCCCTCAGCCACTCATACTTGTGCTTTAGACCCTTCACCAGCTTTGTTGCCCTTCTCTGGATCCTCTCCAGCACCTTGATGTCTTCCTTGTAGTGAGGGGCCCAAAACTCAACACAGTACTTGAGGGATGAACTCACCAGTGCTGAGTCCTGGGGGATGATCACCTCCCTACTCCTGCTGGTCACACCATTTCTGATCCAGGCCAGGATGCCATTGGCCTTCTTGGCCCCCTGGGCACACTGCTGGCTCATGTTCCGCTCTCCACCAGCACCCCCAGGGCCTTTTCCCCCAGGCACTTTCCAGCCACTCCTCCCCCAGCCTGGAGCTGCCTGGGGCTGTTGGGACCCAAGTGCAGGACCCAGCCCTTGGCCTTGTTCAACCTCATCCAGCTGAGCTCAGCCATGGCTCCAGCCTGGCCAGACCCCTCTGCAGAGCCCTCTGTCCTCAAGCAGATCAATACTTCTGACCAACTTGGTGTCATCTGCAAACATCCTGAGGATCCACTCTTATCTCCTCATCAAGATCTTTGATAAAAGCAGAACTGGCCAAAACACTGAGCCCTGGGGAGCACCACTGGTGACCAGCTGCCAAGTGGACTTGACTCCATTCATCCACATCCTATCAACACAGCAGCACCACCACCAGCTGGCTGGGGGTCAGGGGACACGTGGCACCATCAGTGGCATGCAGTGGCTGCAGTGTGGTGCTGCTCTGCCCCTGGGCAGGGGCTGTGGGCAGGGGGAGATGCCCCCAGCTTGCTCTGAGCCTGCAGACACTGCTCTGGCCCACTTGGGCTGGGGGAATTAGTGAAGAAATGATAGTGTTGTTCAGGTTATGTGGAAAGTTTGGGTTTGGAGAGCTGAGAGAGTCCTTGCTCCATACTGAGATGTTCTTGGATTTGGTTAAATAGAGGCCAAGAGGTTGAATGGTGCAGCAGAAAGAAATGAAGGGAAAAAAAAACCCAAACTTTTTTCTAAATTCAGGACATGGTCTGTAAGCCTGTTACACTCCTGCTCTCACAGAACTCCACACTGAGAAAATGGTTTAAGGGAACTGCTCCAGGAAGGCCTGGAACAATGGCCAGCACAGGAAGGATGTCACAGGTGGACAGGGCAAGTTTGTGCCAAGGTGCAGAGGGGAACAGGAGCCACCACAGCTCCAGCAGACACCAGCTGCTTTATGACTCTCTGGTATGTTTTGGAAAGCATCCCATGGATGGTTGGAGAGCTGAGGAATAAGAGTAATGGCAAGCTGGCTTAATATTGGGTGGCTTTATACTGTCAAGATGGTGTTTTGTGGCCTCTTCACTTCTAAGGTGGGAACTAAAAGAGGCTGAAGTGAAAAGTGAGGTGGAGATTTGCATTACTCTTGAGCAGGAGTGAAGGTTGAGGACACTGAAGAAGAAGAAGCTGACACAAGTGGTTGGGGAGCTGGGATTTTGAGAGAAGAGGGTGTCATGATGGAAGGGTGTCACAGCCTGGTGCTAGTGGGTTATGGGCACAACCCCATCATGATCAGGGAGTACAGTAGCAGACACATTGCCCTTCTCAGGGCTGAAAAGATCTTGGCTAAATCTCAGCAAGACAGAAGGGGAAAGTGTAGAGCAGACCTCAACACAATGAAAACTGAGACCCCCTCCTCCTGTCACTTGAGGTGTTTTCTCTGATATAGGCCAACAATGACCAAAACAATGGCCAAAAATTCAGTCTTCTGAATGATCCCTGTGTTCTTTTGGCTGTTTTGGAGTGGTTGAATAGCTGTGAGCACGTTCTGCTGTTATTTGGTTTGCTGGCTACATTCCCTGCATACACCCCTGTGGTCCATATTCCCATTTTTGACTCTCCCAAAGTGTTAGAGGTCACAGCACATCTCCAAAGGTTGTGATTTGTTCTTAAAACCTGCTGAAGGAGAATCTCAAGTGGTATCCACTCTCTGTTGGCCATGGTTTCTTTTTCCATTCATAAATCTCCATCAGGTAAGGCAGCCAGGAGGTGAAGTCAGTCATTCAGAAACACATCACAGGCTGACAGACACCCCCAGGCCCTGCTGGGGAAGTGTGCTGAGCACTGAATACACCCTGAACTGAAGGAAGTGCTGCAGCTTGACTCATTCCATCTGCCTGTTGCTCTCTGGGGGCTTTCATCCCAACATGTTTCTTTTTACAGCAACTCAGGGGCATGTTGTGGAATGTGGGATTCTGCTGAATTCAAGCAGGCTTCTTGCTGAGTGTGACATTTAGGGTCTTCATTCTGCAACAAGTTCTGTCAAACATATGGTCGTGCAGCAGCACAGTAAAATGTGAATTTACTTTGGGTTGCAAGAGGAATCCTACCCAGGAGAATCTGGGACTTTGCTCAGGCAGCACAGGAGCATGCTGCAGCTCAGAGTGGAAAGGGAACTACAGCTCCACCAGGTTTTCCTGTCACCTCTGCAGCCTTTTCAGCCCATCTGTGGGTGGAAGTGCAGAGTTAACAGCTAAGGGCAAAAGTTTTTGCCTATGGCTGAATCTTACCATGCTAATTATAACATGACTTTTGCATGGATAATGGCAGGTCCCAAGGAGGGGGTGAAGAAAGGGATACAGATCTCTTCATTGTAAATACATCTGATTGAAAATATCCTGGAAGAGAGATTTCTAATCCATTTCTCCTCTTTCTTAACCCTGTTGGTATTGCCTAGGTGGCAGTGACACCCTGTGGCACCAGCTGCTGGTGCAGCACTTGGCACCAGCTCATTCAGCACAAGATTGCAATGACAAAAAGTCCAGGGATGCTTTGAATTCACATCCACAGACTGCATCCTCCATCCTCCTTGGGTGCCTTTGCACTAAGCAAGATGTACTTTGGGGATTTAAATATCCTGGAAGTAGCTCCTGCCTCTTTCTGAGCGTTTGTGCAGGGCCTGTGGGGTGGGTCTCCGTGCTTCATCTCACATCTCTGGGCTTTGCAGAGCAAGGAGGTGGCTGTGGTAGCAAACCAGTGTCCCATCGTGGTGTACCTGTGACATTTAACTTTGTGAAAATGCTTCCTGATGAGCATTGGTGAGCAAGGAGAGCTTGTGGCTGCAGGAGACAACACTCACCTTGGGTATTTTCTCTCTCTCAGGGGGTTCACGAGTCGAAAGGTGTGACTGAAGATTATTTGAAACTGGAGTCCCTGATCCAGAAAGTGGTTTCTCCTTACCTGGGCACCTATGGGCTATATTCCAGTGATGGACCCTTCACCCACGCTTCCTGCATCTTGGGTAAGAATGACAGAAGGTTGATTTGGTCCACAAAGGGCCAGGCCCACAGGAGAGGAGGCTGCCAGGCCTGACACAGCGTGCTCAGGCTCCTGGTCTCTTTGCAACGTGCAAAGTCACAGTGAAACCTGAGGGAGAGGAGATGAAACCAGATCAAACAGTGCTCTTTGTGACTCAAGAGTGTCTTCAGCATTTCCAGTTTACCTTTTAATGAGAGAGTTTTAACACAGGATGCTTTATGGGCAGTGAGAGGAAGAAGCAAGAACTCATTTCTAGAGTGCTGAGTAGTTTCTGTTGCTCAGTGCATGAAGATCATACAGAGCTGTTAAAAGCAGGGAAGGGAGTAGGAATTTGTCTTAGAGAAGACTAACTAATAAGCCTTCAAACATATAAAAGCTTTCTGCAGAGTGGAAGGTAATAAGCTGGTCTCCATCCCACTAGAGATGAGAAAAATAGAGTGGGGTGTGCTTAGCAGGGGAAATTCAGATTACACAGAAGGAAAATCTCTAGTGTCACATAAACCACCTCTGGAGGCCATTGAATCTTGGTGCTGTAGACACATCCAGAAGGAGCAAGGTGGGTAAACAAGGTCCTCTCTGGTGGCAGAGGCTGAGTGAGTGGACCTTCTTCAGCCCCTTCCAGCTTGTTTGAGCTCTGAAGCACCCAGTGACTTCTGCAAAGGCAGGATTTGGCCAAGATTAAGATCTTTCAGATAGCCCATTTAGGACCTCAATGTGTTGAAAATGCAAGGGGGATACTACCAGCATAAATCAAAAAGGAAACAGGGTAGCACCTTAGGATTTTAATGTAAATGCTGTGATGGCCTTCTAGAATACAAAAAACAGAGGGAAAATAGGTTCAGTTGTTTCATTTCATCTCTTTGCTTGTCAGAAGTGGTCAATCAGGTAGTTGGTTTTCCCTTAAAGATGACTGGAAGAGCAGTTGTGTTGCACTAGGTGTTTAAGACACAAATCAGTGAATAAATAGAGGCCTGTTATTTATGGGAAATGGTTCAGGATTACTACTCTGTATTCATTGCTTGCCATTAAAAGGCCACAAGCATTTAAATGGAACCTCCCAAATTGATGCTTTTTGAAAGTAAGATTTTGTATGTGAGGACAGAAAAAAAGGCACCCAAAGAAAATAAAGCTCCAGTGCAACAGAATTTTGGAAAATAAACATTGTATTACAGGGCTGTGGAGGATAGGAAGGTTTTGGTGGATCAGGCACTTGCCCTTGCTGCAGTCAGGAGTGTAGATCTGTAGCAGGACCCCTGAATAAGTCATGTTGTAGTCAATAAACCTGGATCCAAGGGAGCTCTTTTTTTTGGTGTGACCAAAACCCCTGAGTTCCTGTGGCAAGGCAGTCCCAGGGAACCTTTTCTATTTGCCAGGTGAAACTCCTAACAATGGAAAAGCCCAAAAGTGAACTTGGCTTGGTTGATTTTGCTGCTGAGGCAGACACAACTGCAAAATACAGTCTGAAGTACAAAAATTGGTTTTATCAATACTCTTAAGTACAGAAACTGGATTTTTCAGTACTCTAGCATAAGGTTGGAATTTGTGTCCAGGTAAGCCCATAATTATGGATAATATAAATTTAGAAGAGGCTGGCATTTGGAAAGGAAATTGGGTGGTTTTCAGAGGCACACACACCAGCATCCTGGCTTAAAGCAGACCATTCTCTATGCAGTTGTGGATGGCTCCTAGAGCATGACTTTGCCAGCAGTGCCCCTTTCACAGGGGCTGGCCAAGTGAGAGCAGCAGGAAAAAAAAAGCTTCAAAAGTGAGACTTATTCTTCCCACAGCTTTTGGGGTATTTTTTGAAGCCCAAGTGAGTCTGAGCAGTGAGGTGGGCAGGAAGTTTGCCCGGCGGTTATTTTGATGTGGCTGCTGGAGAGCCCTGCAGCTCCAAAGCTGACTTGCTGCCACCTGCTGCTCGATCTCTGGAAGGAGCCCACTTGGCTGAGAAGCAGCATTCATCTGGGCACTGCTGGGCAGGGTGCAGCTTTGCTCCCTGGAGAGACCACCGTGGGCACTGTCCTTCAATGTTTCCAGAAGCTCCGGTGCGGTCTGGATGAACATCCAGGCGTTGAGTCCTCTGTCACGAGCAGCACCTTGAAATTGGGAGGTTCTGTAGGTTTTACTGTGGTTCTTCCTCTTGTTTCCAGAGAAGAGGTTCTTCAGGCGTTCCAAGTCGGGCGACCTGCTGGCCAAGAACCCCGTGGTGCGCTCCAAGAGCTACAACAACCCCCTGCTCACCCCCGTGGCCGAGTACGAGACCGAGGGCATGGCTGCCAACGGAGCGGGCATCCGCAGGCACTCCGTCTCAGAAATGACCTCCTGCCTGGAGCTCCAGGGCTACTCCAACCTCACCACCATCATGGACAACGGTTCCAAGAGCTCCATGGCGACCACGAAAAGCTCCTTGTCGGGAGAGCAGGAGAGACCCAGCGCCGGGGCGGTGCAGTGCTCCAGCAAGCTGGGCTCTGGGGAGCAACAGAAAGGACTCTTCCACTCCATGGATGATCCACGGGGGTCTTTTGAGCTAGACAGGGACCCTGCCTTGATTCCAGTCCCCTCCTCCAGCCCTGAGAACATAGTGGATCAGATTTTGGAGTCGATTGACTCTGATTCTGAAGGCATTTTTATTGATTTTGGCCGGGGCTGCTCCAGCTCTTCAGCGTACAACGTGGACGTGAGCAGACAGAGCATCATGTGAAGGACACTGGGAGACAAACCTTGGGTTCTGAGGGGAAGTTGCTAACGCCTGGGGTAGGACTACAGGCAGAACCTGTGTTGTAGCTCATCTCAGCTGTGCTGAGCTACACAGACACAAGTTTACAGCAGGTGAGAATCTGCTTCCAGGGGGAAGAACCTCCAACCGCTTCTCCCTTTTCCTGTCACCCTGCAGCTGGATTTCCTCTTGTCCTTCTAAATGTAGGGGTTCACAGGCTGACAAGTGTCCAGTAAAATGCTGGCAGAGTTTGTTCAGCCAGACAGCCTGGCAAACAGCAGTGTTGCCTTGGCATTTTCTCAAGGGATTTCCAGTAGCTGGGCAGCTTGTTCTCTGAACTGTAACACCTCAGCCAGAGTAAAACCAAATCCTCCAAAAAAAACCAACCAACCAAACGGCTCAGAGGCTGTTTGATCAGCATACAGTGATCAAGAAGTCTCTTTTAATCTTTTTCTTCTACATCTTGTATGCAGTCCTTTGCCTAACAGTGAGTTAGAGCTCTTGAAGAGAGGCAGATGAAGAGAAATGTGCTACCTGCTGCCACGAGATGCCTCATGTTCTGTTTCACACAAAATGCCTTGTGTTTGTCAGGGGGTTGTCTTGGAACTGGCTCTTCAGGCCGTGTTAGTTTGCTCTGAGCGTGGCATTGCCAAGAAATCTGTGCACTCTCAACTCCTGGAGCATCCTTTGGGTGGAGAGACTCCAGCAGAATTCAACTTACTTGGTTCTTAAATAAATAAAAACGTGGCCTCTCGGTGGAAATCCTCGTTGTACGTTTATATTCTTCAGAAAAGATGATAATGCATATCCTGTCAACTGTGTATTGATATTTGGGGAGTGTGAACCTTCTCATCCTGAGCACTCCCAGCTCTTTGCTTCTCCCTTGCAGTGCTGGGGTGTTGTAAGAGCTGTGTCAGTGCTTTTACAAAGGACTGAAGCTAAGGTGAAGTAGAAATCCTGATGCGTGGTAGATTTTTGATCAAATGGTTGTACAGTGAAGAAAGGGTCACTTCAGATCCCTCTGTTCTAGGCATCTCCTCTGGAGGAAAGTCACTTGGTCACTCCTGAGCTGCTTAGCAGAGAAAGTGCTCATCAGTTTGGTCTGGCAGCGTCTGGTGCTCAGCTCAGGTGCTGAAGGACTTTCCAGCTTGCCTCTGCTGCTGACCCCAGCGTTCACCAGACTCTTCCCCAGGCTTTGATGGCATTTCTAGGCTCAAGGCCCCATTTCTGATGCTTTCTTCCCTTTGGCCTCACTGCTTGATCTTTTTGGAGAGTGTTCCCTCAATCTTTTGCTACTGCCCTGCTTCACTGCTGGAGATCTCAGCTTCTGGACAGAGGTGCAGAGGTTTGAGAACCTCAGAAGCCAGCTGAGGAAGGAGCCCTAGAAACGAGGCAGAGAAATGCAGTGGCTGAGGATGCAGGCACCAAGCCAGCCCTCTGGATGTGTAACTAGAAGTTGCAGATGATCAGGTCACCCCTTTGGCTGCCTCTTGACCACGGTGATGCCTGTGCAATACCACACCCAGGGGTACTTTGCTCCTGGAAGGGTTGAGTATATTGGCAGCTTGCTCACCTTGGAGGTTTATCAGGTTCCAACCAACTGCTTGGTGCTACCAACAAGTGTTTGCCCACCCACTCCTAGCTGGGAGGCATGAGGAAACTGTAGTCTCAAGGCACATTTGGCCCTGTGCAAACTTGGATCCAAGATAGGACAGAATCAGTCATCTCCAAAAGTGTCCTAAAGATGTACAAGCCCCCGTGTGGCACCCTTGGCCTCCACCCCCACTGCTTTTGGCAAGCACTGTTCTGTTTCCTGAATTCCTGTTTGTGTTGGAGAAAAAGATTATCCACAGCCTTGTTCTGAGAGCTCAGCACAGAGGAGGAGATGAGGCATTCAAACTTCTTCAAGGAAATCTTAAATAGTGGATTGAAGCCTCTGCACTTCTTCCCTTAGGGAACATCAAATGTAATAAGAAGCATAAGCAAGCTGGGAATTATTTAAGCACAGTTTCATCTAAGAGAAAGGGACTTCTAGGACCCTTCCCACCTGAGCTTTTGCATGGTTACTGCCTTCCCAGTGTCCAGTTTTGGGCACCACAGGACAAGAAGGACATGGAGGGGCTGGAGCAGCTCCAGAGGAGGGCAACAAGGCTGGTGAGAGGGCTGGAGAACAGGCCTGATGAGGAGTGGCCTTGAGGAGCCTTCTGACCTCCCTTTCTCTCCACCTGCTGTGGCAGCAGCAGCAGTGGATTGCTGTGCTCAGTGGTTTGCAAGTTCCAGACTCTTCTTCTTCTTCTCCATGGGGAGGAGATGGTTCTTGGGGCTGGAAGAGCAGGGTGGCATCTGGAGCTGGCTGCCAAGAAGGCAGCTGGGTCATTGTGTCCCCTAAAATCCAACTCAGGTTGGAGCTGCTCAAGGCAGTTTGTCTTAAGTGGCAGCAGGCTGCAGAAAACCCCAGAGCACCTGATGTTTTTTGGGCTCTGTTGCCAGTCCACCCTTCCCAGGAGGGTGATGTGGAGAAGAGCTGCCAGGGAATAGCTGCTGGAGGCATCCAAGGCAGCTCCTAGTCCCTCTGTATGGCCTCAAGGACCTCAGGCTCCTGCCTGTTCTTGATGTTACTGAGAGATGAAGGATCTGTGAGGGATGGAAACTATACCAAGTGGTGGAACTCCCCAAGCTATTGAGAGGAGTCTCAGAAAGTGGTTTGAATGTTTTGTGTAGTCCCAGGATACTGCAAAAAAGTGGATGTGAACTCTCCCAGATGCTGTGTGTTGCCCTAGCTGCTCCATCAAACTGAGGGTTGAACTTGACTGGTTTTATTAGACTCAGAATTAAGTAATATGTCAAAAAACAGGGGGTGTGGGAACAGCCCTGGGGCTGCTGGGCTGACAAACCCCCCACAAGTTCCCTCTGAGTTAGTTGCCTTTGTAGAATGAGGTATCAGGGGCTAAACTGACATCATTATTGAGGGTCTGCATCAGGATTTTCATGTTAGGATTGCTAACTCTTCCAGAACAGGATTTATTTCCTAATTATTATATAGGACTTTTCTTTTTCCCCCTTGCAAAAGTAAACAGAGAGTTTTAGGTAGATAAATCCTAGTCCTCTGAACTCTGGGTTTGGAAATCAGGCTCTGAAGGGAATGCTTAAGGCACTGCTGTTGTCCTTAAAATGAAAATGAGTCATGGGATCAGATTGTTGGGCTGGAACTCAAGAGGCTGGGAGGGTTTAGTTCCATGTCCTCCATGGGCTTTTTGCATCAATTTGTCACTCTCTACCTCTTCAAAACATGGAGATAATGTTCTTATCTGTCTTTCCTCCATTTTAAACTGTGGAATGGATTGTCTGTTGCTTGAAGGTTTCATGATAAAGCTTGCACAACGAGAGGAGAGGAGGAAGCCTGTTGGAGAATGATTGACTGTCAGCTAGCAATGCAACCCTAACCTTTGTGTCTTAAATTTTGTTGCCATCATGTTCTTTTAATGCAGCTGTATCACTGATTTAGGTCTATACATTGTAATTAATTTGTATTTATGATCCATTCCCTGGATATCTACACACCTTGTTTGGACTCCTCCCCAACAGCAATTCTCACTGGCACGTTTACAATGAAACTGGGGCTGTTTCTTTGGCTCATGTTGGCTCTTTAATACTCCACCAGCTTTGAGCACTTCATGGGTTTTTTTCTTACAGTCTGTGTTACTTTGTTCTTATCAGCATCAAGCTTCTTACTGCCCATTCCTCCAAATAGTTTAGATCCCTCTGAAATTCCTCATCTTCCGTTCTGAATCTCCTCAGTAACCCCCAGGAGCAAATATCTCTGCTTCACACCTCATCCATCTCTTCCAATCAAGAACCTGGAAGGCATCAGGCTTGATTTCCAAAGAGGAACATTTCTTTTCCCACTTGCAGTAGTTTTGTGGAAAATTGAGATCAGAATGTTGTGTTCTTCATGATCAGATCATGGTTTTTTCCCAGATACAGGTGGAAACGTTGCTGGTTTGTAAGCACTTGGATCCTACTCTCAAGTTTATGTTGAATACAAGTGTGCTGCTTGTTCTCTACAACATCTTGAGGTGTCCCTGCTCATGGCAGAGGGGTTGGAACTGGGGGATCCTTGTGGTTCCAACCCTGATAGATTCTGATCTGTTTTAGCAGAGGACTTAGGAGTGTTGGCTTGATGGTTGGACTTGATGATCTTGGAGATCTCTTCCAACCTAAAGGATTCTATGATTCTATGATCTTCCATGAATGCTCCAGTTGCTGTGAATGATTAAGCCCCTTTGTTCTCAGACCTGATGGGTATGCAATCACCTGGGATGGTGACACACTACAGGGAGCTGGAGAAGTTGGTAACCTCTTGGGGTATCCACAAGCATCTCTTCACACAGTAAAGGAGAGGAGTAAAAGTAGAAATGGAAATGCTGCAGCTAAGAATGGGAAGCAGGATGGAGTGTGGATGCTAGAGCAGATATAAGATCCAAAAAAGGCAAATTTGGTTGACTTCAGATCAAGATCAGCAGTTCAGACCTCCCCTCACAGCTGTGCCAGCAGCTTTGTCACATCCCTATTCCTAAACCTTTTTCAAGCCTCCCTGGGGGAGGAAGTTGAACAGAAATGATTCTGAAGAAAAGGTTGTACACAGCTCCAAGTGGAGAATCTTGTAAGGTGTGTGAGGGGAGGAATTTGTCAGTGAGGGTGGAAAACCTTTTCAGTTCCACTGGTTCCATTTAAACCTTGATTTATCAGAAAAAATGTTCCAAATGTGTGGCAAAATATGCTTTGAAAATTATTTTTAACTGCTTTTTGTCACTTTTCTTTGACTTCCTATGAACAGGTAATGGCTGGTTATTGACAAACAGCTTGAATATTTTGAAATTGGTCTTGCATGAAGCAAGCCCTGGAAGGTGCTGTAGATGCATCCACAGTGAATGGCTCCATCCAGATACTCTGTGGAGCATCAGGGAGCACTTTGCAGTTGGAGACCATCAGGACCTGACCCTGTCAGTC